TTTAATGAGAAGCTGTCTTGCTGGAAGGGACTGAGCTGCAACAGCAGGACCAGGGCCAAGGTGGAACACCGGGGCTGCCTCGCCCCAAGACTGCTTCACAGTCATGCTGTTGCACAGCCATGCTGTATCACAATTGAGCTGTTTGCACTGAATGACAGACATCTCCCCCTTCACCATATCCCAAATTGGGGACTCTTGTTGGCATTGAATAGGCGCCAATGACCATCATTTGACGCTTCCTAGTTTTTTATTTTTGTCTCTGGCAGCTTTACATACAGATATTGTTTGTTTTAATACGGATTATATAAGTATATTCAGAAATAAGAATTGATTATATTTTATCTATTACTTTCTATATTTACATGTATAATATGCATATAGATATATATTAGAATCTCAAACAGTATACTGTTTCTAATTTACTTCTCTGTTATTTAAAGTGTAAATCATGAAAAATTTTCTTTACCATTAAATACCCTTTTACAGCATATTTTATTTTACAGAACCCATACGAATAAGCAAAAATGTTTGTCAAGTATCTATACTTGCATATTTTCATTGTTTTGCTTAAATGTTTTACTACTATGAATATATTTGTACATAAATCTTTCCACACATTTATGATTTTTTTCTGTAGAATAGAATGTCAAAAATTAAATGCTATATCAAACAGTATGAACATTTCCATGACTGATAATTGTTGTCAAATAGTCCTCCAGAAAGAATGTATACCAAATTACATACCCACCAATAGTGTGAGAAGTTGTTTTAAGTTTAACAATTTTGTGTGGGAAGAATGTCGGTTAGTTTTACATTTAGGGAAATAATTAATAAAGTATAAAATACATATGTAAAAGTGTCAAAATCATGAATATGTGGATCAATGAAGTTTTAAAACTAAAACCATTGAACCAGCACTCAAAACAAAGCAAAACAAAGACCCTCCGGAACATTACCCAAGGTTACCGCTACCCTGAATTCTAGCATCCTAATAGTTTTGCCTATGTTTAAACTCATATAAACCATATACATTACTCTTTTCACTTTGGCTTCTTTATCTTAATGTTGTGTTTGTGAAATCCATCCACACTCTGTGTAGTTGTAATTTGTACATTTTTACTCATGAATAATATTCCACTGTGTAAATATACAATTTACTTATACATTTTCTTGATGAAGAACATTAGGTATTTTCTAATTTTTAGCAATTTGAAAAGTGCTATTATAACATGTGTTAATGTTGTTTGGTAAACAAACACATGCATTTTTACTATGGGTGTATCTAGAGTGAGATTGCTGGGTTATAGAGCATGCCTGTTTACCTTTAACATTTTGCCAAACAGTTTTCCAAAGTGGTATCTCCCGTTCTAGTTGCATGACACCCTCATTAAATACTTGTTTTTTATGATTTTAGACATTCTGGGGTCTGCTTAGTGGTATCACATTTTGGTTTTAATTTACATTTCCCTGCAAACTAATGAAGTTGAGCACATTTCCAAAAATTTATTAGACATTTAGATATTCCGTTTTTTGAAATGCTATTTTAAGGTGTCTGGCCATTTTTATTGGATTGTCTTTTTCTTTTTCATTTGTAAGAGCTCTTTATACATTATAGATATGAATCATTTATCAGATATACGTGTTCCAAATATCTTCTTCTAGTTTGTGATTTGCTTCTTCTTTTATTGGTGTCTTCTGATGAACAGAAGTTTTGACATCAATAAAGTGCAATTTGTAATCTTTTTATTCTTCATAATTAGTGTTTTTTGTGTCTTCTGTAAGAACACTGCCTACTCCAATTATGTAGATGATTTCCTGTGTATTTTGCATGAGAATGACATTTTTACCTTTCTCATTTAGCTCTGTAACACATCAGGAGTTAAGTTTTGTATATTATTTAAGGTGGAGTCAACATACATTTTTCACGTATGGATATACAACGGATCTGCTACCACCTTTTGAAAAAAAATCCTTTCCCCGCTTCACTGCACTGTCATCTTTGTCATAAATAAAGCGACAGTATGTGTAGGTATGTTTCACAGGTCTGTGTGTGTGTGTGTGTGTACACACACATATATATGTTCATCTTTGAGACAATATACTATTTATTCACTATAGCATTGTGTTAGGTTTGGCATCTAGTAGTGGAAGACTTTCACCTCTCTCCTTCAACGTTGTTTTGGCTGTATTTGGCTCTTTGCATTTTTATACACATAGTTGGAACCTGATTGTCAACAAAAAATAACCTGCTGATATTTTTTTAATATAGATTGCACTGAATTTATAGATAAATTTGGGAATAATTGACAATTTTAAAATATTTTAAAATAAAGTCTTTCAATCCATGAGCATGGTATATCTCTACACTTATTTACGTCTTCTTTAATGTTTCTCAAAATTATTTTACAATTTTCAGTGTAGAGGTCTTGCAAGTATTTAGAATTAATTCTAGATATTTGATTTTTAATCAACTTTATTGTGGTCTAATTTACACACAATAAGATACATACATTTTAACTATACAGTTCAATCATTTCAACAAATGTATTCACCAGTGGAGTCAGTAACCAATCGATACAAAATGCGCACTTTTATCTCTGATATTTTTCCCCAAGTATAATATTTTTTGACATTTATCTGTGTTGTTGCTTGTACCAGTAGTTTGTTCCTTTTTATTGCTTACTAGTGTTCTAATGTATGAATATACGAAAATTTGTTTATTCATTTACTTGTTAATGAACATTTGGATTGTATCCCTTTTGGAGCTACCATAAATGAAATTGCTATGAACATTCCTGTACAAATCTTTTTGAAGAAAGATATTTTGAAATCTGTTTTGGAAAATTCCTAAGAGTAAAATTTCTAGGACGTATGGTAAGTGTAAATTTAACTTTTCAAAAAGCTGTCAAAAAGTCTTTCAAAGTGGTTGAACTCACCGGCAATGAATGACAATTCCAGTTGTTCCACATCCTTAGATATACTTGGAATTGTCAGACTTTTTAATTTAGCAATTTTGATGGATGTGTAGTGGTATTTCATTGTTTCTTTTTTTCACATTTCCCAGATGATTAATGAGATTGAACATTTTTCCTTGAGCTCATTGACAATTCGTATATGTACTTTTGTGAAATGTTGGTTCAAATCTTTTGATTATTTTTATTGCATTGTTTGTCTTATTTTGAAGTTTAGGAGTTCTTTATATATCTTCTGGATATAAACTCTTTGTTGTTTACACGTGTTGTAAATATTTTCCCACTTCATTTTCTTAACCATGTCTTTCAGAGAGAACTTTTAAATTTTGGTAACTACAATGTCTCTGTACACTCTACTATTATACTACCTTTATTACTACATTGTAAGTCTGAAATCAGATAATGCAATTCTCCATATCTGTGGAGTTTTTTTTCCCAAAATTATTTTGTGTATTCTAGGTTTTTTGCAATTCTATATAAATTTTTAGTTAAGCTTGTCAAGTTATACAAAGATGCCTACTGAAATTTTGATTTTAACTACACCGAATTTATAGATCAATTTGTAGAGAATTAATATCATAACAGTACTGAATTCCCTGATGTAGGAGCATGGTTTTTTATACTTATTTTGATCTTTAGTTTCTTTTGGCATTCATTGTTTTAAGTGCATATGTTTCCTTAAATTTATCCGTATTTCATGTTTTTGGAAGCTATCATAAATTTTTTACACATGATTTCAATTTCCAACTTTTCATTATTGATACTACTGAGTTTTTGTATATCTATCTATAATTTAAATCCTGCTAAAATCATTTTTATTTCTATAGTAGGTTTATTGTAGACCCCATAAGGATTCTCTAAATACATGACCATGAGATTTAATAAAGACATACTTACTGCCTTTTGAACCTGAAATTTGTGAAGGAATTTTTGTTGTTTAAGTTCTGAAAATTCAACAAGGCCCTACTGCAGTACACACTCATTGGCTTACCTCATGAAAAGGCCTAATGCATCTAGGGGCCCCTCACAAGAGGAACTATCAGCTGCCCTGTTCTTTTCCAACTTTTAAAAAAGTGGCTGCCTGTAGAGTCCATATTTATATGACTTAGCAGAAGAGACAGGTGGTTATTTTTTTCCAACTTTAATCTGTTTTTCAAATAAAAAGAACTTTTTCCTTTTTATAAAATTATATATTTTTTGTTTACTATAAAAAGAATAAAATAGAGAGAGGTTATGAATTTTTTAAAATCCATTCTCCTGGGCTCTTTCCTTGACACATCTCTCCTATACATTTTATTGGAGGGAAAATGGAGAGCACTGGCAGCAGAAAGAACAGCAGGTGGAAGGACGCCTGTCCTAGGAGCTTGGGAGGGAAGAGGCGAGTCCCCAGAGCAGCAGCTGGGATGGCCCACAGGCCCCCGAGAAGATACTGCCCTTCCCTGGCCTCAGAGAAAGGCCCAGGAACACACAAAGAAGGGACAACGACAGGGCCCAGGCTGGTGATGTTAAAAGGGACGCGGGGACAGGGGCGGCGACGCGGGCCGAGGGCTCTGCAGGACCCCGAGGGGCAGGAGGGGGGCGGGACGGGGGCGTCGCCGTTCG